CCGCCCCTGCAGTAGTCTGAGCGTTTACTTGAGCACAAACATTTTTGTTACCAACTGTTCTTCTGTCTCGGTACGTCCCGGCGCAGAGATGCCTTAGCGGCGTCTGGCTCTTGCTTGGGCTTGCCTAGGGCCCGGTGGTGGGGACGAGGCGGCCCATGTCTTTGTTTCTTGGAGCTGAGCCTGCCAGGAGCTCCTGCTCTGTGCCCACCTCTGCTCTCTCTCAGTAGTCCTAGAGCCAAGAAGGCTTCTCCTTCCCGGGCAGGGGTTGTTGCTTCCCCCTCGGCTACCCCGAGCACCTTGGGGAGCTGCCAGGCAGGCTGAGCACTGACCCTGTGCCCTGGGTTTAGCAGTAGCAGTCATTTTTCCCCTTCTCGGTAGCTGGCGCAGTGCTGTGTTTTAACTTTCGGGCTGGGAACAGAGCTGATAATAATGATGTTTTGCTTCGGCCAAGGACTTTGTGAGCCTCATGCTCTGCCAGGGAGGAGGGGAAGCGGGGAGGAAGCAGAGACAGGACACCTGACCCAAAGTGACCCAAGATGTATTCCATACCCCAGCACTGCTGTGTTTTAACTTTCGGGCTGGGAACAGAGCTGATAATAATGATGTTTTGCTTCGGCCAAGGACTTTGTGAGCCTCATGCTCTGCCAGGGAGGAGGGGAAGCGGGGAGGAAGCAGAGACAGGACACCTGACCCAAAGTGACCCAAGATGTATTCCATACCCCAGCACGTCATGCCCAGGATGTAACTGGGAGTTACCCGGAAAGGCTAGAACTGCAGGGTTGGAGGAGGTTCGTATCGGTCGGTGCTTGGTCGGGCTGGGGGGGCGAGTTATCGGTCGGCTGGTGATGAGGTGGTGTATTCTCTTTGCTCGGTATTTCATTTATCGTTACTATTGGCAGCGGTAGTGATTTGTGTTATACCTTAGTCACTAAACTCTTCTCAACCCGTGAGAGTTTCATTCTTTCTGATTCTCCTCTCCGTCTCTCCAGGAGTAGGGGGAGGGCAGGAAGGGGGGAGGGGAGTGAGTGAAAAAGCTGTTTGACTGGGTTGAAACCACGGCAGAGCCGGGACCCGCGCCCGCCCGGCAAACGCTGCTCGAGCCTCCCGGCGGCCGGACGGCAAGCTGGTGGTGGTGGCCATAGCCTTCCCTCAGGACTACCCGGCTCCGGCGGGACGTAGCAATTTCCAGGGGCAGTTCCTCGCCCCGCCGCTGGGGGGAGGCACTTCCTGCTCGCGCCGGAATTTGCCCCGTTTCCGAGATCGCGCTTTCTACCTCTCAGGGACATTTCCCCGCGCCGCCGCTGCGGGAGGGACTTCCTGCTCGCGCCGGGATTGAGTACCTCGTTTCCGAGATCGCGCTTCCTACCTCTCAGGGACATTTCCCCGCGCCGCCGCTGCGGGAGGGACTTCCTGCTCGCGCCGGGATTGAGTACCTCGTTTCCGAGATCGCGCTTTCTACCTCTCAGGGACATTTCCCCGCGCCGCCGCTGCGGGAGGGACTTCCTGCTCGCGCCGGGATTGAGTACCTCGTTTCCGAGATCGCGCTTTCTACCTCTCAGGGACATTTCCCCGCGCCGCCGCTGCGGGAGGGACTTCCTGCTCGCGCCGGGATTGAGTACCTCGTTTCCGAGATCGCGCTTTCTACCTCTCAGGGACATTTCCCCGCGCCGCCGCTGCGGGAGGGACTTCCTGCTCGCGCCGGGATTGAGTACCTCGTTTCCGAGAT